ACCTCAAAGTATTTGAAGCTGTTTGCGTGAGGAACAAGTTCATCTAAAGGATTTACTAATTCAAATCACCTGAATTTTTCAGTCTATACTCTAATAACATGTTCAAATCTAGGGACAAACTTCATATAAAACACCTGGCTTAATAATTTTGAAATTATCTCATCAAAAAAGGAAATCTTTGTCCTTGGGTTGGATGGGATGTAGAGGGGGTGTCATCATCGCAGTGGTATTTGTGAAAATTAATTGACCCCAGAAGCTGACGGTTTGGATCTGAAAGGGGGGACAGGGAGTGGGTAATGAGGAGAAACTGTAAAAGCACAGCAGCAACAACAAAACCCAGTGAAATCATTCTCAAATGAATTCAATCTATTACAGGCCCGGTGTAGACTCAGTTGATCATATTCTATCTACTCGATCAAAACTTATGATAGCTTTCAATAAGTTAAATTGTATATTCAGTCAACATCCAAAGTACAGAGAAAAATGTCCTACAGGTAATTCTTACTAAACTGTACAAAATACCTTACCGTTTTCTGAACTAGATGGTATGAAGATTGGGTTTTAATTTTTGCTTAAGTACTCCACATATCCAAATTAATTTCCAATTTCAGTTGTCATAGTTCATGAGCAAACAGGTGTGCAGCATCTGAAAATTAGTGATAGTGGGAGTCTCTGGCTACTGTAAAAAACTAATGGGCAGGCTTGACACGTTTGGGAAAAGAAATTATCCTTAAGCAGCAAAATACACAAAAAAATTATCTTTTCAGTGATTTTCTAATTCCTTTAACAGAAAGTTTGATTCCTGTTCTCTTTCCGTGTTTTTAAAATCAGTGATACCCTGTAGCGGCAAAGAGAGTAAATGCAGTGGAAATGGAGTAGATGCAGACCAATTGATACAAGGATGTCTCCTAAGCCCTGACTGGCAGGGCTCAGTTGTTTGGGCCTCGTCTCACAAAGCAAAAGGTCGCCAGGTCCTATCCCCAGTCAGGGCGTATCATATGCCTAGGTTGAGGGAAACTGATGGATATTTCTCTCCTCTTCTTTCTACCTCCTTTCCCCCTTCTCTAAAAAATGAAGAAATATTTTTTTAAAAAAGAAAAATGAATGTCTCCTGAGCAAGGAACTGCTAAACTTTTATGGTAGTCACTATTTACAGAAGGATTTAAAAATTTGTGATTTTATACTAAGGTGAGAACCATTCAAAGCTTCCTACAAAAGCACAATCTTGTAATAATGAAGCTATCCTACATGACAAAAATAGGAAAATTCTTGTTAATAGTCACCAAAATATATGTTTGTAGAAAGAGCTTATTTTTGATTCTTTATATCAACTTCATTCAAAAGATATTTGGATTCCAAAATAAAACATAGTAACTATCACTTGAGATTCTCTAGAATTGCATGTGAGAGCATGAATGTGTATAATAGAAAATGTTGTAAATGCAGAAAAACACAAAGGATAATAAACAATACCCAGAACTGAGATTTATCAACATTATTATATTTGCTTTACTTGATTTAAATAACATATCATAAAAAATATTTAAATCCTTTCCATTTCTAAATTGCCAGTCCACTAAAACAAAGCTATATAAGCACTGAATTTTTTTATTTTCTAGTAAATAGTAGGCATTCAATAAAAGCATGTCTCCTCTGCCTTTTCACAGATGTATGAATTAAGTATATATTCTTCTAGTATCTTTTAGACACTTTTACAAATACTTGAAGGTACTAAGGAACAACATATAAGTATTTGGTGTCTAAGAGTAAAATTTACATAAATGTTATATAAAAATATCATTCTATATTTAGCCTTTTTCATTCAACACATTGTCAACTAGAATTCTGTAAGCATAGAGGAACCTCAATATACTATTCCTAACATGGAGCAATGGTTAATACAACAACAGAATTCCATTATCAGTATTTTCCAAGTTCCTAACTAGAATATTATAATCAGTTTTTATAAGACCCTAAACCATCCATGCTCAGGCTGTTCGATATAGTTCTGGTTTTCAAAGTTTTTTAAAAAACATGGCTCTGAAGGAAGTAAAGTAACTAACAGAATTAAGGAAATAAAAAATTAATCTAAAAAAGATAAAGTATTGTTAATGACAATTATATATGCATTGTAGGATAAAGTAAATGAATAACTACTGGCTGACATTGGGAACTTAGATTTTGGCCTGAGGAGAAGCAGAAATAATAAGTTAATTAAGCAAAAACTCTCTAGTCATAAATATCATTTGGAAGTATCCAAATCTGGATACATTTCTTTGAAAAATAAGTAATTTTCTATTTCTGGCCTCTGAAAGTCCTAGAAAAAAGAGCTGACTTAGCACCAACACTCACCCCCAGTACTCAGACAGTGGTTTCTAAATAATATCTCCCCTCTCCCAAGGAACTAGGACACCTTAGAGAAATGGCTAATTCCAGTTCTGGACAAGGAATGCACATTATGCCTGGCCTGGAACATCGCGCCGTCCGCCTCTGAGAACCAGGCTCTGAGAACTAGTCCGTGCCCGTGAAAAGGATTCAGGAGTCAACCTGAAAAAACTCCCACTGGCCAAAGATGAAATTATTTAGCATCCAAAAGAATAAGAGCAATGAACTGAGATATAGCAAAACCAAATTCATTTCAAAATCAGACACATAAACTATAAATCCATGAGTTCCTAATAGTTAAAAAAGAAACTGAGTATGTACATGCTAGGTAATCAAATACTTTTTTTTGAAATGGCTACATAACTGTATAGTCAAAAGATATCAAGCATTTTATCCCGTCTTTGCTGTAACAACTACATATACTTCAGGATAACTGAAGAGTTGATAAAGGCACGTTTTTACTTATAAAAAGTCAAATATTAAACTTGAATATAATCAAACTTCTAGATCTAACTACCAACTAATAAGGAATACAGGACAGAAACATGCAGTTACCGAAATCCAGCCGTGGGGGTGAGTCGAGGGGCAAATGATCGTCAAAGGACGGACGGAGGGTTGGGGGAGGGGTGTGGGGAGAGGACGGTGAAAACCTCCCGAGTTTAAAGAAATCACCTAATGAAACTGTGTGCATCTTATTTTGTTACAGATTCTTAAAAATAACCTTGTGTGTGTGTGTAAGAAAACATCGTTTATGAGACAATTGGGGAAATTTGAACACTTAACAACAAAGAATTATTACTAATTTGGTGATAATGATACTGTGGTCAGTTTTGTAAAAAGGAGCCCTTATAGAAATCGTATTATCTCATTCAGACATATTTAAGCTTGTATTCTTTCCAAATACTTTGGGGTAAAGTCTGTGAGGATGTAGATGAAAGGCTAACCCACTGCTGACAATGACTTAAGCAGGGTAAGGAAAGCATAGTGGTCCTTGAGCTCTTTTCTCTGCTTATATGTGGTAAAGATTTAGAAAAAATGATGATAAAGGCTCAGGGGATGTAGAAAACTCTTTATTATAAATGCTGAAAGGCACCATTAGGGTACAGATAACATTCTCCTCAAATACCAAAATCCTTTTGGGGAGGAACACTCTGTGAACCTTAAATATAAGTAAAAATAAAAATGCTATTTTGTGTTAGAGAATCATGCCCTGACACACACTGAAACGGAAGAAGTCTTTAGAGACAGGTCCAAATCATGAGTATCTCAAACACAGTGCCTCACAAAATGCACGAAGATGAGCGTATTTCATTGCAGCAGGCAAATGAATGATTAGATGCAGGGAACTAGCATAACGGAAACATACAGATCATTGGAGTCTGTGAAAACCCTCTTCCTGATCATTTCTATTAAGACAGAAGTGACTAATGAGGCTTTTAATGATACCATCCTTTCTGCTTAGTGGTAGAACAGTTAGTATGTAATATGAGAAAACAAAAATAAGATCATAAATATTAAAATGAATAGCTTTTTATTTTATAGTATATTTACATCAACTCACCCCACTCCAGAAGCCTAGTTATAAACTTGCTGGTTTTGACAAACAAAACACCAGCAGAACAGGTACTTTTACCAGTGCTGTAGGTGAATCCTGGCAACTTTTGGGACACCAGCTGTGTGCTAATTAGTCTTGTGACTGCCTAAATCACCAAATATTACATAATGCTTCTTCGAGCTTCCAGGACTGAGTCTGGATGCTGGCTGGCAGATGCCCCTGGGGAGGCCATACCTGGTCCTAACAGCCGCTGTGATGAGCTCCAGCAGGTACAAAGAACTGGCTGCCTAAACATATGCCTGTGAGTCACTTCAGGTAATGGGATGGAGGGTGCTTTGGGGGATGCAGAAAAATAACACACACACAGTCTCTGGTCTAATGTTACTGACACAGGCGTGTGTCCAGGATCCAGTTATGTCTGAATGCCATTTTTTTTTAAATACTTGAGGACATGCTTATTGATTTTTAGAGAGGGGGAAAGGAGGAAGGGAGAGAGGGAGAGAAAAATCAGTGTGTTGATTGTTTGTCTCTTCCCCACGTCCCAACTGGGGACCGAACCTGAAACCTAGGTATGCGCTCTGACCAGGAATCCAACCTACAACCTTACTGTCTATGGGAGGACGCTCCAACCAAGTGAGCCACGTTGGCCAGGGCCAAGTGCCATTTTTTTGGATTAAGTATTAGTAGCAGCATGACATTTGAAACCTATGCTCTGCTATAGAATTCAACAGCCTGGCTTTCCATTTAGCCATTCATCTAGATTTATGCAACAAAAATAGAAAATGGATGCACTGTTTCTAGGCTTAAGAGATAAACTGGAAATTGGATTACTACATGAACAATTTGGACAAGATGGCATGAGGACTTTTAAAATAAAAGACTGATTGTAGTGTGGGAATTTTGGTTGCAATAAAGGGTTTCTCTCTGGACATGGCTTTATGTCCTCAATCTGTTCAATAACCAAAACTATGAGACGTAAGATAAAATGCTCAACTGTTGCTTCTTTCAGCCGAGTGTGATGAAATGGATGGATTTTATTCTGAATGTGATAAAAACCTACCTGAAGACTGCGAGGGTCAGAGACCAGAGCACTAATGGCTTCCTCAGTTCAAACTTCGCTCGTTTGTTCATTACGTGCCGACCACCAAAGATAAAGGCAGCATACAGAGCAGAAAACAGGAAAGATTTCTTCCTATGAACAAACAAAATGCCAAAATCTTATAAAATAAAAATCTAAGCAATTTATGTTTACCCATTACAATTTCTATTTAGTCATTATTCATCAACTTTTATACCAGTCTCTTCATTGTAAGCACTGAAAACATTTTCTTGGGAATGTGCCCCTTCACTAAAGAGACAACATTTAGTCCATTTGGGAACAAGGCGCTGCTGAATCCTCCTTTAGGGAAGAACACAGAACCACCTATAGCATACTTGCCTAAAGCTTTGAGCTTGAATCTAACCAAATGTCTGATTTTACTACCTATTTATAGGAAATAGAGGGAGTAAATCCAAATTGTGGGACATTCTGTAGGACCATTGAACTTATTTCTTCAATAAATCAGCAGTATGAAGTCAAAATTTGAGACCATTGTAAAGTAAAAGTGACTTGAGAGACATAACAATTAAATATCACGTGTAGAGCTTTTTTGGATCCTTATTTGAAAAAGACATTTTTAATAAAACCAACATGTTGTTAGTCATAATTTTAAAGGTCCTTCATTAATATTTATGGGTGAAATTATATCTTGGATTTGCTTTAAAATTCCCAGGAAACAAATGAACCAAAACGATATTAAAAGTGGGGAGATGAAACAATATTAACAAAAGGGATGCTGGCACACAGGGCCTCGTTATCTGTCTTTCCGGCGTACGTGGGACTCTCAGTTGGCAATAGCTAAGAACTATCAAACAGAAATCTCCAGGTCCTGCTGGCTCACTACTGTGCCCAGAAGTACACAACAGTATTGAAAATGCCAAAAAGAACAAAAGCTTCTACAGACAATTCAACAAAAAGGAACAGAGGCTTTGTAAATAATTTAACCATTTGAATATACTTCCTGAAAAAGCAATGTTTCCCTTAAAATGGGTATTCCCCACTCAATTAGAGTAAAAAGAAAGGGTTGAAAAGTTACAAGACATAATACAAATAGCAAAATGCATTAACCTGAAGAGCATTATTTGTAAAGTGTTTCATTTTTTCCCCTAATCACTGACCTGTAGTGCTGACTCATGAGGGATCTTATTATTTACACAAGCAACACTCCCAATTCAATGAGTCCAAGTGACCTACTTGGTGAATACCGCCTAATGAAGTGAGTGACTTCAGAAACCAAACCATAAAGGGTGGAATAAATCACTTCCAGTGAGGTTTGCAAACTCTTCTCTTGGAAACACAGGACCTGGTACACAGGAGTGCTTATTAAATATTTGTTGAATGATCACAGTTTTGTCATATCAAATTTCCTGACAAAGAAAATAATTGCATACATGGTTGCTCAGCAAACACTAACTAATACGTAAGCTAACAGTTGTACTTTCTGGGTAATGTATTAATAACTAAAGGATAAAATAGGTAGGAAAACAACATATAATCCATTTTCTTCCTCTATAAAGAAAAAGACTATTTCTATAGTGCAAAGAGAAATGAAAAAGTAGAAGAATTTTATGGAAACTTAACTATTGAACATTTCAGGAAGAAAGTACTTTGGGCCATAAACATATTTATCACTTCGCTTCTTTGCATTTTGCAAGTGTATAGCATTACTTTTATTAGAGTCAGAATCACTATCTGCATATATATTCATGTAAGCAAGGACTCACTGAAGAAAAACAAAATTCTATCAAGGTAATGTAAGCAATAGTAATATCAAATAGTATATATTCTTTTTAAAATTGTAAAAGTAGTGGTAAGTGAAAATAATCATAGTAGTATGATTTAGAGAGTGATTCCTATGTGTAGAAATAGTGCTTAAAAGCTTTCACATTTAATCTTTCTAATCATCCCTAATGCAGGTAAAGCATTATCTTCATTTTATGGCCAAGGAGACAGGTGCAGAGGTTAAGTAGCCTTAGACCTCTTGTTGCTCTCCTGTGGTAAACTTTTGGGGACAGGGGAGAAAGGGTGTAATTGATGTGTTCTCTTCTAGGCATATAAAATTCCTTAAGCCTTCCTACTGAATTCCATGGTCATTGTGTAACTGTGTAGTGCATTATTTAACTGTGAAAAAAGTAAGAGGAATCTCCACATCATGTTTCCACATTCTGGGTGTGGAACACTTTGACCCAAACCCCCTGTACTTCCAGGAGAAAAAAACTGTTGCTTGTTCATTCTAATCTAGGTTTTGGTTTTGATTAGATTGTTACTTGAAATTATGAATCAAGTTAAATGAGTGTCTTTATATGATCCTCTCATTCTAGCCATTAAAGGGAAAATAATGTGCCACAAACACCCAAGAAAAGAACAAAAGTCTTCCTTCTGTATTTTTTTCTAATTTCTTCAGTTCTAGAAGGAGAACTAGTCTTAGTGTAGTGCTAACCTCCTGGCAAAGACTGTTCTCTTTTTCACAAGTTTTCTAAAGATTTGTCACAAACCTTCAATTCCACAGGTAGCACAACCAAGTCAATCAATATAGACACACATAATTTGAGAATTGCAAGGGACCTCAGAGATGGAGCCCAATTTCCTTCTTCTACCGAAGAGGGAATTAGGGGCAGAAGGAGGTGCTGATAACATTGGTGTCTCATGGTCACACAGCTGCACACTGTGTATCGGTCACAACTACCAAAAATCAACATGCATTAATTGTCTAGGCTATCTATATCTGGGTCATAGGCAGTCAATTATGTGAACTGATATGCTATAATTAAAATGTTGCTTATTGTATACTATTATAAATCTTCCATGGTAAAATTCAAATAATGCTTTGGGTTAATTTAGAATTAAACTTAAGCTTCTTCTATAACAGGGAGTCGTTTTAAGTAAGTATTAACTCTCACCTCTTCAACGGAGTAATCAAAATGTATTTCATTTATAGTTGAATGTATTATGATGTTTCCATTTTGCTCAGAAGAAGGTACGGTTTTCTTTAGCAAACTGGGTTAGGCGAATTAAACCTGTCTTTCTGTCTTGACATCTGGTAATGGTTCAGTTATAGTCAAGATAATTGAAGGCAAATAATGACTTGCTGCTTACCCACTTACTATTTAATGAAGATCAGTAATTTTCAACCTTTTTCATCTCACGGCACACACAAACTAATTACTGAAATTCTGTGGCACACCAACAAATGTATCTTTTGCCGGTCTGACCAAAAAAAGTTTAATTTTGATTCATTCACACTGGATGGCTATTGTTGTGTTGGCTGTTGACAATCTAAGGGAGAAGAGGTCGGTGCCCCTCACTAAACAGTCAGGTATTGCATGTTTTAAAAATTATTGTGGCGCACTGCAGTAGATAAATGACTTCCCCAATGTCTCGATGGTAACTCAGTAATACTCCACATTCTGGCCAGCCTCCATCACTTGGTATACTGTACGACTACACTGTTCTATTATCAGATAACTTGCAATTTCTAGATGGCATGGACTCTCCTCCTTTAATAAATCGTAAATGAACATTATATAGCAAGACCCTGGACTGTAGGTGCCTTTTAAATACTTCTCAGGATGGCGACTCTGTAGCTATAATTACGCTGTAATCAACCAAATAAAGATTGCCTGAATGAAGTGCTGATGTGCTCTGAGCTACTGCACTTGCCCTCTCCTCCTTCCATTTCTGTTGTCAATACGAATAATGGAAATTGGTCCATAACTAATAAAAACAAATAATAGCTATATCCTTAGAGTTCTCTATTATGCTACCTTGTTCCAAAACATTCCTAAGAGATACTTTTTCTATTCTTACCGGAGTAGCTCCTCAATATTTGTATTTATTACCCAGTCTATTACCACTCTCTCCCACTCTCAAAGAGTGTGTATACATTCAAATGCTTCCCCACCTCCCTGCCCCAGTTTCTGGATTCAGCTGAAACCAGTAGTTAGCTTCAGTCTCTAATATTTACATCAGGATCTTTGTCAGCACACTTGCACGCCTTTAAGAGTCAAACAAGCTTATTTGAGAATGTTGCAACTTTCATGTGGATAGCATTTCAACAGATGATAATTGCTAATGAACACCTTCAGGAAGTGGCCTTAGCTCCTTTGTGTCTAAGTAAACTTGTTTTGTGGCTACTGTACATGTGTAAGATGCAACAAATTGTAAAAGTGAAAATTAAGCTGCAAGGGAGAGTTAAAAAGGAGATCTAAAAGCATCTCCTGATTTGGGTGATAGCTACTTAGCTTATAATAAGTTCTCATGTTCTAAGTTGAAAAGTCTGGAGCTGAGAAAACCTGCTAATTGGTGAGGCCTTGTCTCTTTTAAGATTTCTCCTTTAGTTCAGTTGCTCATTCCAGTCAGGACACAGTTCAAAGTTTTAAAAGTAATTCTAAGGCCACAAGTAAATTGGAGACCCAGAGACTGAAGGAAGTAACACATTGCTTTTCGCCAAAACGCGGATGTCTCTGGTGGTTACAGTTTCATACGAATATAAAGGAGGGTTTTCTTAAAAGAGATTTTCAAGTTGTGCTGTTGGGAGTTCTAGCCAGGGCTGGAGTCTGTCACATTCTTGAGATTTCAAGATCCCTAAGACTTCACAAAGGCATTTTTCTATTTTAAAAACAATGGGAATTTCCTAGCAATTTTTGTTCACAAGTAAATTATAACTGAAAAATTAACCCTGTGCCCTGATATTTTGATTATAATTTTGTGAATATAAAGAAAATATGTCCATAATTAATACAAATGGATAACAACTTTATAACTGCAAGACAAAGCCATGACTAAAGAAAAGGGTGCCATTCTAATATGTTACATTTGACCCAGAAGATCACATAATGTATGGTTTATGAGCTTGAGTTGCAAACACCTCTTTCTCATTCTGCTTTCCTCTCAAATGCTAATTTAAAGATCGCAGGTTCTCCTTACTTATTTTCTTAAAAAAGCAGGAAAACCATTCTTCTGCAACTCAGTTGTTCTATTGCTGAACGGGCCATGATCTAAGTAGAGTCACATTTGACACAATAGATTCAGTAACATGGTCACATATGTATCCCTTTCCAGGAGACTACATTTCTCTTAGAGCAGATCTGTTA